TTGCTATAATATTTTAAAAGTAGATTTAAACTTTATATAAAAATCTTAGTTAAATATTCAATAAAGATAGAGGCATGGTCTCACCATTAATATTAAAAAAAAATAATTAAATATTTAGAACAAAATTTTTATATTATTTAAAATAAAAAATTATTTTATTTTATTTTTTTTTTAAAGTGTTAAAATATTAAAAATTATTCACATAATTATAATTTAAAAAAAATTCTGTTTTAGTAGAATCATTTGCATAACTATAATAAATTTAAAAAATTTTAGCTTAGTAAAGTTATTTGTACAACTATAACAATTTAAAAAAATCCTACCTCAGTAAAATTATTTGTGTAACTATAAAAATTTTAAAAAATTTTACCTCAGTAAAGTCATTTGCACAATTATAACAATTTTAAAAAAAATTCTGTTTTAATAATATCATTCATGCAACTATGAAAATTTAAAAAAAATTTTACTACTTTAGTAAAGTTATTTATGCAACTATAACAGTTTTAAAAAAACTTTCTACCTTAGTAAAGTTGTTCATGCAACTATGTTATTTATAAAATATAGATATTACATATTATAAAATACAGATATTACTATAAAATAGCCTTTCTTAAATATGTATTAGGTTATTAATATAATAATCAGCCACAATAATCTGTACTAATCAAAATTTATATCTGATATTTAGATCTTTATTTAAATATCTTGCAGTTCTATATGCTTGTTAGTTTTCTTTAAATTTGTAAATTATAAATATTGTAAGACAAAAATATATAATACTTTATATAAAAATAGAATATGCAAAGGCATTATTTAACTTTTAAAAATAAACCTCTTTGATGAAAAATGTTATTATTATTCTTTTTTGTATTAAAATATTGTTTAAGTTATTTAAAAAATTTTTTAGACTAAAGTTTTTTTTACAATACTTATTTATTTTATTAGTTATACATATTTGATATTTATTTGGAATCATTACCCAAACTTTTAAGATACAATATTTACTTATTATTTGTATTTAATTAAGATTTTCAATGAGCTACTATTATTCTGAATTTAAAAAAACATTATGAAAAAAGCAATGTAAATAGTTTTTGAATTAAATAACTATAATATTATAGACTAAAAATTATAAAGGAATAAAAAAAATATACTTTTTTAAAAACAAAAAAAACATGAATATTCTTGAATAACAGCATTTTTATTTATTAAATTTTGTAAATTTATTATTGTACTTTGTACTTAAATTAATAATTTTTTTTAAATAGCATCTTATGATTTGGTGTCACCAATCTGACACACATTTAAAAAATACATATTTTTTGCAAAACTCTAAAATTTTGGATCAGATTTATCAAAACTAAATAATATTAGCTAACCAACTATATAAGTTTATCTGACTGGCTAATAAATTTAATTAACTTTATACTATTTATATAGTCAAAGTAATTTTCATAAAAAATAAAACTTAATTATAATAAAATAAAAAAAATCAGATTAGAAGATTTAATTAAAGCTGTAAGACTTCATAGCCAAAATAAGATTTAATTCTTATTTGTTTAAAAAAGTTAATATAGTAATAACTTCTTAAAACCTAATAGAATCGACTTATTACTAAATTAATTTTTTTAATCAAATAAGAATTAGATCTTATTTTTAATTAAAAAGTTCTATAGCTCTAATGAAACCTTCTATATAGTTTTCTTTTTACTTTATTATAGTTGGTTTTTATTTTTTAAAGAAATACTCTAAACTGTATAAATAATATAAAATCAACTTGAATTTATTAACCAATTAGATGAACTTCTGTTTATGAAGCAGTCAAACATTAACTTCATCAATAGGTTTTTAGGCTTAGTTATTAAAATTTAAACCAATATTTAAATTACAAATATTATTAATTTTTTTTATAAAAAGTTATTTTTAGGAATAGATTGCAACAAAGAATATGGTTTCTTATAACTAAAATAATGTTTATTAGAGTTGAGCAAATTATGGATTTTCAAAAAATCTTGTATGAGATTCATTAAATCTAGATATCATACAGTTAAACCTTAATTTTGATTAGCTAATAGCTGTGATCAACAAAATTTTAGTCTGTATTTGTTTAAAATATAAGTTTGAATAATGATAAGATTAATCTAAGAACATATTTCACTTAGAGTTAAAAATTATATTTTACAAATTTACAATATATATAATTTCATAAAATATATAGTACTTAAAGATGATAAATTATAATTTCTTCAAAAATCATACATGAGATTTATTAATTTCACTTAATAGATAGTTATAATTTTTTTACTAAAAAATTTGAGTAATTTTTGGTTATTATCATTAGCCAATCAAAATAATGAATTTTTATAGATTTTTTATAAGATTTAATAGCAATAATTACATTAAGCATGTTCTTGGTTAAAGGTTTCATCTGATCTAATTTTTATAAGATAATTCCAAATATTATTATTATTATACATATTATTTATTTTTAAAAAAGTGACTTAATTATAAAGAATATTTTTGTAATGTAAGTAAAAGATAACAATGATTAAGAAATAAATTCTTATTATATATATAAATAAACATATATATAAAATAGTATGCAAATAAATTTTAATAAAAAATTAGCTAAATATATTAATATAAATCAAATATTATATTTATGCTATCTAGATAATATAGTAATGTAAGTCAGATAATCTTATTTTAAGATTATATTAAAAATCCTATGCATGTTCATCTCTAGTATCTGCATAGATTTCTTCTATTTCTGGTTTTGTATAAAAATGTTGCATAGCTAGTTATTTAAAAATTATTACAAATAAGACTCCAAAATAATTATATACTAAAAAACCTAAATTTTAATTATTTCTATATATCAAAAAGCTGTTAAAATAAATAGTTTTAATGGAATGGTTAAAATTAAAAATCTTTATAAGAATGGTATTGTGAAGAACAAAAAAAAAGTATTCAAATATTATAAAAGAACTGCAGATTTAGGATACTTAAAAGAAATGTATACTGTAGTAGGATGCTATAAATATAGTTGATGTACTGAATAGAATCAAGAAAAAGCTTATAAATATTCTAAAAAATCTTCAAAAAAATATTATATTAGATATTATTTTTAATTTGTTTATATGATTTTATTATAATATTTATATATTATAACAATTTAAATATAATTTTATTATAAGGAAATTATACAAAGCAAAAAAATTATATAAGTAAAAAAATTACAAAACAAAAAAATTTAAGATTATTATTCATTTAATTTATATTGTTTAAATTTTTTTTTCAAATGTTTTGCTTTCAATTCTTCTTTAGTTTCGATTAATTCATTTTTTAATTCTTTTTTTTCTAAATAATAAAAATAAAAAAAATAAATAAAATAATAAAAAAAATATTAAAATAAAAAAAAATATATACTTTTTTTCAATTTGATAATCTGTTGTTTCATATTAAGAATGTCATCTTCAATGTATTCAATAAGTCATTTTCTTTTAGTTTCTTTAACTTATAAAACAAAAGAAGTAGTACCATTAATTTGCAAGATGGAAGTAGTAATGATAGAAGTACTATTAGTTTGTGAAGGTGTAGGTGCAGAAATATTTTCATTAGTAAGATCAACAGGAGAGTTTTCAGTTGGTATAGATGGTTTAGACATGATGAAAATAGAATTTTTTTAAAGAATGTTATGTATAGCAAAATTTGTGATGTTTCAAAAAAAAATTTCAAAAAAAACTGGTATATATTTTAAAAAAAAAAATTGAAACGTCACAAATTTTACTGCACCTAACATCTTTACGATATTCGAAATTTTAATATTGTATCATACTATTAAATCTATCTATACACATCATTCTTAAAGTTATCATAATTACTGATGTTAGAAATGATGTTTATCAATAATTACAATAACTTTAAGAATGATGTATATCGATAGATCTAATAGTATGATACAATATTAAAATGATCATTATTATATATAAGTTTACTTATACATATTATTATTGCTCAGATGACTTTATTAAACAAAGCTGAAAACATATCAATAACGATAATAATTTTTATAATAGAAAATCTTGCATAACCATGTAATTGCTTGATCCAGTTTTTAAAGTCATGCATCCATTTTTTTCATAACATAAAACATTGTGTAATTTTGAAATAACCTTTAGCAAAATGTTGTAAATAAGATGTTTAATAATTATTAGAAGAGATTATTTGAAGTTTTGTCACAAATACATCTTATAAAAAATGGAGTATTGAATATCTTTTTTCTTTTAAATGAGAATTAATGCCAAGTAAGTTTCAAATTAAAATTTTGACAATAGAAAAATATTTCGAGTGAAATGATATGAAATCAAATGCATGTATTAACTTTTGAAGTTTACATACAATGTGAACTGAAGAAAAATTTTGATCATAATCATTGTTTCTTTCTCATTACTATATTCTAATTTGCAAATACTAATATGTTTATCTTTAGATAGAAGAGTTAAAGAACTCCTTTGTTTATCATTAATAGTAAGAATAACCTTCATTTATAAGTGACTGTATTACAATTACTATAAGATTTATAAAGCTTCTAAAATTCTAAATTATTTAATATATTCTAGATATTAATGGCGTTATTATTAATAATTATAATATTAACTATTAGATGATGTGCTTAACGCAATTTTGTATTATTTTGTACAGCTATTTCTAATGCTTGCTTAATATCCGCTATCTATAAATAATAATAATAATAATGTATCAGAGTTTGATCAAAAAAAGAAAAAAAAAGTTGTTTGTGCTGGGGTGAGAGACGCATGTGTCATTTTGCGGGATGTTCTGCCAAACTTTCTACACCACCCTATTATGTTAAGTCATCGAGGGAAAAAAAAGTCAGTAATTAAATCAAGGAGGACAACTATGAGATAAATAGAAAAGAAACATACCAATGATTCAGCCAATGTGAATATTTTGATATTCTGTAAAAAGGTATCAGCAGCTTCAAAACCTCCTTTAATTTTAAAACTTAACATTCCTCCAAATCCTTTTGATTGTTTCTTTGCTAAATCATGTTGCGGATGACTTTCCAACCCAGGATATGTAACCTCCTCAACTTTATCACTACTCTCCAAAAATCTTGCAATAACTAAAGCATTTTCTTGATGCTGTTTCATACGATTAAATTGGCTAAGCCACCGTAGATCATCACTGAATATCGGTTTGTCCACCCTGCTCATAATTATTATATTGCCCAGTTTTTAAATTAGGCGCAGTGTGCAGTATTTAAAAGTTTTTTTTTACGAGATAAAATTGAGTAAACATCATTGAATCGCACTTTTGAATATTTTATATAGGACTCATCTAATCCTAAGAATAACATGTTACAAATACATTAATTCTTTTATATATACCGCGCGCATAAATTCCGTGTCCCTGGAATGTACCTGGCTTTAACGGACCCTCATTTTTGGGACTGTACTGCGGCTAATTACTACGGCTACGCCAGAGGTCACGTTACAACACTTTTCGGATAATTCAACTATTTTAAGAATTTTCGTTTTTTTTTTTTTAGAAAAAAACAAATCACTACTTTTTTAATACGACAATGCCGGTAGTGACAACTGCTCAGCTTGTAAAGCTACAATCGCGCACAGAAAATATACGAAACATTTGCATTTTAGCACATGTTGATCATGGAAAAACAACACTGTCTGATTCTTTGTTGGCCTCGAATGGAATAATATCTAGTAAGCTTGCAGGAAAAGTGAGGTACCTTGACAGTCGAGAGGACGAACAAGAAAGAGGAATAACTATGGAAGCAAGTGGTATTTCCCTCTATTTTCAAATTTTACGTAAAGCTATGGAAGGAGAAGGTATCAAATTCTTAAAATCAAAGGGCTGAAATAATTTGTGGCTTTCTGAAATTAGTAAAATTGTTTGCTTATATAATCTAATAAAATTTAAAAAGAAACTATAACAAATTCTGATGAATATCTGATAAATCTTATTGATGCTCCTGGACATGTCGATTTTTCAAGTGAAGTATCGACAGCATCCAGGTTATGCGATGGCGCTTTAATTCTTGTCGATGCTGTCGAAGGTGTTTGTACACAGGTGTGATTGAGAAACTCTTATTCGATTGATGTTAGCAAGTTGCGTTCTTTTGTTAATTGAAAAAGATTGGTTTGACTGGATCCATTTCAATTAATGAATCTAAATAAAAGTCGAAATAATAAAATCGAATAAAACTTTTATTAAGACACACACAGTGCTCCGCCAAGCTTGGGTAGAGAACGTTCGACCCATCCTGGTTCTAAATAAAATAGATCGACTCATCACTGAATTGAAATTAACGCCATTAGAGGCACAAGTTCATTTAAACAAAATTATTGAACAAGTTAATGCAATTGTGGGAACTTATTTTGCTGGCGATGTGATGGAAGAAGAAACAAAAAGGCACGAAGCTGAAAAAGTACGAATTCAAAGAGTCCTATATTTCATTTTTAAAATAGTACTAAATTGTCGCTTATATCGACAACAGGAAAAACTCTTGCATCAAGAAAAGGAATATGAATCTACGAGTTCCAACGAAGAAATATTTGAGGAACATGATGATTCTAATATATATTTTACACCCGAGTCTGGAAACGTTATTTTTGCTAGTGCTCTTGATGGTTGGGCATTTAGGTAAATCTATTAAAATACCACAATTTTATCAGTATGTCAACAACTTCCTTTCAAAAGTTGATTGTTTACAGTGATATCCGATCCGGACGAATAGAATCGAACAATTTGCTCAAATATACGCAGCAAAACTAGGTATTAAAGAATCCATACTTCGTAAAGTACTCTGGGGTGATTATTATCTCGATCCAAAAACGAAGCGTTTTTTAAAACACAAGCATCTCAAAGGGCGACAATTAAAGCCAATGTTTGTTCAATTTGTTCTGGAAAATATATGGACAGTTTATGATTCAGTAATTATAAACAAGTATGTTTTTGTTTTTAAAAAATTGATTCATGGCAAATTTATGTGGCTTTAATCTGATTCATTTTCCCAACATTAAGCAATCGAGAGAAAATTGAAAAGATTGTCAAAAGTCTCCAATTGAAGATCCTACCAAGAGATATGCGTTCTAAAGATACTCGCACGTTACTGACGTCAATTTTCAATCAATGGCTGCCTTTGTCAACAGCTGTTTTACATATCCTTTATTTCTGATGTTATTTAGTTTAGAGCTTTATATTCAGGAAAATGAACTATCATTTTTAACGAATTTGCATTAAATCCTTAACTTCATGCACTCGCTGTAATTGATCAGCTTCCATCGCCAATTGTCGCACAACCGATGCGATTACCACGAATGCTTTCTATAGACATTAAAAAAAAACCAATAAATGAAGTTGAGCATGGATTATTTAGTTGTGATGTCAGCGATTCTGCACCCGTCGTTGCGTACGTATCAAAAATGTTTGCTGTACATTCAGACATGTTACCGGAAAACAGGAGGAAACAATTGTCGGCCGAAGAATTAAGAGAAAAGGGGAGGCTTCAAAGAATAGCACGGTTACATTCTTCAAATATTCGTACCGGAGAAGTGACAGTTCTAGATACAACTGCTTCAGATAGTGATCATAGCGAGATTCCAATATCTGAATCATTGGATGCATCCTTAGAACAATTGCATATTCAGTCTACAATAGATTCAGAAGATACAATGGTCCCTGAACAAAAACCCACCGGGGAAACATTCATAGGATTTTCTCGTCTTTACTCTGGCACCATTAGAGTTGGTCAAAAACTTTATGTTCTTGGACCCAAGTATGATCCTGCTTTTCCTGATCGACATTGCTCTGAGATAACAGTTAAAAGTCTATATTTAATGATGGGGAGAGAATTAGAGTCTCTCCAAGAAGTACCAGCTGGCAATGTTTTTGGTATCGGTGGACTTGAAGGCCATATATTAAAAAATGGAACATTGTGCAGTACAAAAGATTGCAAAAATCTTGCTGGTGTTACATTAGAGGTAATGCTTCAATATTTCCTATTTACGTGGAAATTTCATTTCTAACAAATTTATGGTTATTCATGTTAGTCTGCGCCAATTGTTCGAGTAGCTCTGGAGCCGACAGATCCATGTAATAACAATGTTTTATGCTCTATCTACTTCATCCTTAACATTCAATGTCCTAATATACGTTATCAAAACATTTTATAGCTGAAATTGATAAGCTTATTGAAGGACTTCGTTTGCTCAATCAAGCTGACCCATGTGTTGAAGTTCTCGTACAAGAAACCGGTGAGCATGTCATTTTAACCGCCGGCGAAGTACACCTTGAGGTCTGTTACTGGGTATTCTTTATAGTTATATATAATTCAACATTCTATTCTTAATTGAATTGTTTAATTTTTTATAGAGATGTTTGAGGGATCTAAAAGAACGATTTGCAAAAATTGAGATTCAAGTTTCCCCTCCAATTGTACCATTCAGAGAAACGATTGTTCCTGTGTCGGGTATTTTTAAATTTATATTATTGCATTACCCATCATTATTTGCATCAAATTAAAACTAACATGATTAAAAAATTGTAGAACTTCAATCAAATAAAGATAATACACAACGCGGTGTGGTGACACTTTCTACACCAAACAAGTATTGCACTATTAAAGTGCGTAGTGTCCCACTACCCTCGAATGTTACTGCCTTCCTTAACCAGCATGCTGTTACCATAAAATCTATTCTGGAACGGCAACAACGAAGTAAAATTGATTCGCACACCACAGAAGAATATGAAGATGCCATTAAGGAGGTCGCTATCAAAGGAGAAAATATACTAGATGCCGAAGATTTTTCCAGACTTCTTCAACATGAATTTGACAAGGCAGCTGGCAGCGAAATTTGGAAAAACGTAGTGAAAAAGTAAATTTAAATATATTGATGATTATGACTAATTAAATCTATTATTTTAATAATCTGAATTCGTTTTCTCATTTTTAGTATATGGGCATTCGGCCCCAAACGTGTCGGACCTAACCTATTAATAAATAATGTCCGTAATTATACCCGGAAATCGTATCCTACATTATCTTACATTATGCGTATGCAATCTTTGAACTTGATAAATCTCAGTAACTGATATTATCCTTAATTAAGTTTCTGAATAGATGGCAAAAATATTTTAGCGACACTAAAATGTCTGGATCATTGTCATCTGATATCAATGAAGTAAATTTAGAATTTATAGAAGAACGTAAATCACTTGAATTATCAATTCGTGACTTTGAAGAGGGTATTCACACAGGTTTTCAGCTCGCAACTAAAGCAGGACCTCTTTGTGCTGAACCATTAATGGGAGTGGCGTATTTCTTGGAAGATTTTACAATATCCATAGATGAGAATGTTGATATATCCGAGGGTTAGTGATCGATTTATTTTTCAGCTTATTATTCGATTAAAAAAAAATAAAAAACTGAATTGTCGATTCCTTTTGTTTTAGTCCGACCAAAATTAGGTGGATATGTTATAACAACAATGAGAGATGCTTGCCTTCAAGGATTTCTTGATTTGTCTCCTAGATTGATGCTTGCTATGTATTCTTGTGATATTCAAGCGACAAGTTGAGTGAAGTAAATACCAATCTCAAATTTACATAATGAATTCCAATACTGATATTAAATATTGGGAATTTAGCTGAAGCTTTAGGTCGTGTATATGCTGTTATATCTAGACGTAGAGGTCGCATTATATCAGATGAACTAAAAGAAGGAACTCCGTTTTTCCAAATAATTGCATTGCTTCCAGTTGTTGAAAGTTTTGGATTTGCTGACGGTTTGTACACATCCATATCTTAATTTAGCGATTATTATGCAATATTCTAATGTCCTTTTATCTCTTATAGAAATCAGGAAGCGAACTTCCGGTGCAGCTATCCCACAACTAATTTTCAGCGGGTAAATAAAACTGGTATTTCAAATTTATATATTTACCTATTTATTCGGCTCATAATAATTTTATTGCATAGGTTTGAAATGTTAGACGAAGATCCTTTTTGGGTACCAACAACCGAGGAAGAGCTTGAAGATTTAGGAGAAAAATCAGATAGAGAGAACCTTGCAAAAAAATATATGGAAAACGTGAGGAAACGCAAGGTACTATATTAAATATCTTGAATTGCAATTACATTTTGTGGTACATATAATTAATATTCGAATTATTAGGGAATGTTTACGGACAAGAAGATCGTTGAACACGCAGAAAAACAACGCACACTTAAGAAGAAGTAGAGTAAATTAAAATAATAGGCTTTTATTGTTATTTGCTGACTTTGTGGATTGTCTTGTGATACTGCAAATATATTATTGGTTACTTTATAATAGTAATGGATCTTCTTGAGAATATTCATATAATACTAAGTTAAAATATTTACCACAAAATTTAAGAAACCCATCCTAATATTATAAGTTAACGTAGAGTTCTGATTAGCCAATATAAAAGAAAATTTATCATTGATATGTTACCAGTAAGCATAAAAAATATTAAATTTATAATTTTATATTTGTATTTTATTTGTGGTTGGTTAATTAAAAAAAAAATTTGAAAACTTTAATAAGAATTTTAAAAAAGACAAAATAGTATTTAGGCAGATCACACTTGGGCATTAGGCTAGAATATAAATATATATAAACATATAAAATACATAGGATTATATTATCCTTATATAATAAAGACAATTGCCAAAAAAAATCTTTTGAAAATCATTTTATAGAACATAGTCATTACTATGTTTTTTTAAAAACAAAAACCTATACAGGGTTTTTGCCTTACTATATTTCATAATTTGATTTTCAAGGCAAAGACCCCATATAAAATTTATACTATATAAACTGTATATGTTTTTTTTATCAAAAAATACTTTTTTCTTTTAAATTAAAATATAAATTATCTATAATAAAGTTAGGGGCTGGTATTCATACCCCCAGAAAAATAACTATTTTTTAAACTTCAAGCGAAGATATCACAACCACCACCTGGTCGATCTCAATGAAATTTTTTTTATTTGAATTCTACGAAAGTTTTAAAATAATTCAACACAATTTCTATTTTGATAGACGTTTTTGACTTTGAGTGAAGATACCTCGATGACCTTATGACCAAATTCGATTTTTTTTTTTTAATTCTACGAACTTGTAGAATTCAAATAAAAAAATTTCATCAAGTTTGATCAGGTGGTCGTCAAAATATCTTCGCTCAAAGTTTTAAAAAGAACTCAGTACAGCTTCTATTTTGATAGCCTTTGATCTTTCTTTGCTTTGAGTGAAGATATCTCGACAACCACATGATCAAATTCGATATATTTGTTTTATTTGAATTCTATGACCAGGTGGTTGTTGAGATATATTTGCTTGATATTTAAAATTTTATTTTTCTGGGGGTATGAATACCAAATGTGGGGGGTGTCCCCTAAAGTTATTGGTCCAAAAATATTGTGTACTATAACTACTTTGGAAAGTATACAATGCAAAAATTTAGCTATATTAACCTAATTTATTTATGTTGATTATAAAAACAAAACAAACCTTTAGCTTCGTAATACATTTGCACATGCTTAGTAGTTCAATCGTGATGATCGACGGGCTGTCCAATAATTGCACTGAATAATGCCTGCTGCTACAAGCAAAATTCTGCTGTATTAATAAAGTACATATAATGGAACAGTAAATAAAAAAGAATGCATAACGATAACGATAACGATGACGATCTGAATATTCTTTTTATCGAATCTAAAAATTATAATTGCCGGCTTCAATGCGTATAAGTCAGTAGTTACTAATTGTTCGGAAAACAATAATCCTCTGCGTTATATTTTCATAATAATGATTGTTCATAAGTAAAAATATTAATTTTTTGATTGCATCTTTCGAACCATGAAAATAAACTGTATTCCATAGTGATAGGTAGCACGTACCAGTATTAAAGTAACACGTGCATTTATGTACTAACGCTAAGTATTGTATAATAGATCAACTATTGTTTTAATATTTTAGTATTGTAATTTTTTTGATACGTATTGTGAAATTGATATAAAGGTCTGTCACGATAATGCCCCAACAAAATAATTATATCTTTAACACTTAATTTTCATAAAGGTAAAAAAAATCGAATATTCGTTAATGATATAATTGAATTATATAATTTTAAAATTTTTTGTTTTGACTAAAAGATATCCATCCATTCGCACTATTTTTTTTTTTTTACATTTAATTCCCAAATCCCTTTTATATCATTCCTAATTTATTAAGATGCGTTACGCTACCATCGAAAATAATTCTGGAAAAAAATTTACCTGGGAAGAATTAGCTAAGCATAATAAACCTGATGATGCATATGTTGCCGTCCGTGGTAATGTATATGACATCACAAATTTTATAGAACGCCATCCGGGAGGCGATGATATTTTGTTATTGGCTGCTGGAAGGGATATTACCCAGGTAATAGAAAAAAATAGTCAGTGCTTTTATTGAGGCATAAATTTATCCGATTCCCAATGTAGGCTTTCGAAACTTATCATGAACTCGGGAAACCTGATGTTGTTCTAAAGTAAGTAACGATACATTTTCAACCGTATGTCTGATTATCTCAGATGTTCAAGAACATCTTTGTATACTATTAATGGATATTTGAAAATAAACATAACAGAAAGTTTTTCGTTGGAACGCTTGTAACCAATGAACTACCAATCTTCCCAGAACCTAGTGAATTCCATCGAGCTATGAAAAAGGTTAAAATTTAAACTTTAGCACGTGTAATTCACGTGCGTGGTATTATTATTGATACCAATATATTTTGTATTTAGAATGTTGAAGAGTATTTTCGAAAAACAGAAATTGATCCGAAGGTAAGATTTACTACATACTACTATCGTTTGAAAAATTCATAATCTTCTGACTTCAAATATTGTTTATAGAACAGCACGAACATTTGGATTAGATACGCTATTATTTATGTCATACTTGTTGGCTCTTACTATGCTCAATTTTACCTACCATACGTAGTAGAAAGAACTTGGCTACAAATCATATTTGCGATATCTTTAGGATTCGCGTGTGCTCAGGTTTAGATAACTTGTTTGCTTCTGTGTAAATACAACTTGTATGCATAATGTCAAGCTGATTTTCTTTCATATTTCATATTCCTAACAGCTTGGTTTGAATCAGTTACACGATGCGTCACATTTTGCGGGTAAGCTGGCGCACGGATGGAATTTCATCATCATTAGATTTTAAATCCATAATTTCGTTCTGATCATATCAATGACACTTTGATAGTGACGAATGATCCATTTGTTTGGAAAATATTGGGCGCCACCCACGATTTCTTTAATGGCGCATCGTAAGTCTGCTTTTCATTGCTATAGTTATTACATCTTAACGAATTTATAACAGTTAACTTATATGTTATAGTTATCTTGTATGGCTGTATCAGCATGCTTTCGGTCATCATATTTATACAAATATCGCAGGTAAGTATAATTGATTTAATATAGCTCTTCCGAAATTAATTTTTTGATTATAACCTTCCCTTCTTTTCCTTAGGCTGTGATCCTGATCTTGTAACAAGTAGGACATTCTTAAATTCAATTTACTATAATAAATAAATTGTATCACTTACATTGTATTTGTAATCTGAATACATAGATGATCCAGATATTAGACGCATAAAGCCAAGTCAACGTTGGTATTCACGATACGTGAATCAACATTTGTTCGTACCGATACTTTATGGTTTTCTAGCCATTAAGGTTCGCATCCAAGACATACCAATTTTGTATTTTGTTGGTTCGAATGATAAAATACGAATAAATCCTATCACAACATGGCATACTTGTGTATTCTGGAGTGGCAAGGTAAGATCAAATTTTAAAAAAGTGCATAAAGTGTTGATCTTAAAACGTGTAATGTAAAACCTTGCTTTAGGTATTTTTCGTGTTACATCGCATCATCATTCCTTTGATGATAAGCTTTTCCGCTTGGAAAGTTTTCTTACTATTCGCCATCGCTGATGCAGTTTCATCATACTGGTTAGCTTTGACATTCCAAGCTAATCATGTCGTGGGTGAGGTAGAATGGTAATCCTAATATATCTTTTTTTTTTCAGTGGTATTATATTATGAAGTTCATGAATATAATTAATTATTAATTATTAACTATTTATAAAATAAAACTAGGCCTCTTCCTGATAAAGATGGTCTCATACAAAAAGATTGGGCTGAAATGCAAGTAAGCTTCTTTTTTTTTTTGCTGAGAAACGTTCTCATTTATTATTCATAATAGTTTATTATTATTTATTTATATTTATTTATTTCCTATTATCTAATGATTTAACAAGATTATTACAACCCAAGACTATGCGCATGACTCCAGATTCATAACGTCGATTGTCGGATCTTTGAATTATCAAGCTGTTCATCATGTTTTCCCTCAAGTATCTCAACATCATTATCATATGATTGGTCCTATCGTTAAGGAGACATGCCGGGAATTTGGAGTTCGGTTTTATTACAAGGTACTACATAATCAGCCTTCTAGCAATGTGAATACAAATCACTAAATTATATCTTAATTATAGAATACTCTTTGGGAAGCTATTGGATCACATATTAGACATCTTCGTTTTCTCGGTTTAAAACCGGAGGATCACAGTAAAACAGAATAAATTGTATTAATAATATTGTTCTAACGGTGACACGGTATATTCTTATGCGTTAAGTTACAAGCTGTAAAAAAAACGTAACGATCTAATTATGCATTGTAGTTGTATTGTATATTTGAACAATTGTAAACCTTACATAGTTTGCTAGTTATTATGTAAACTTTTGGGTTTTAATTTGTGCAATAGACAAATCCAAATAGACATGTAACTTTTATTTAAGTTTAAAAGACATCTTTTTGTCTACAATGTTAATTTGTTTAAAAAAAGTGAGGTCGTGTCGGACTTGGAGTCGACTTTAGACAAAGTCCGAATGTAGGGGTCTGCATATCTTTTGTCTTGATAATTGGTCATTTTGATTGGCTAATTTACGTCGATCCACAATGCTGATACTTTATCGTGAATATTAAAATTTTGTAGAACTATTAAAAATTAGTTTGCGGGGATTTTTAAAAATGTCTTGCGGGGTTATTAAACATAGTCTTGCAGAAACTATTAAAAATTTTTTGCTGGAGAAACTATTAATTTCATGAAGAGTTATTAAAAATTAATTTTGCAGGAACTTAATTTTATTGTCACGGATTAATTAATAAAACTTTATATTTTTTTGTTTGATTGTAATAATAAATAAAACAAATAAAAGATTATCATTTTGTTGCTTTATTTTGATTTCAAAAAAAACAATTATAAAATCTTTAAAATCATGTCCTGTTTTATTTCTTTGTTAATTCTCAATTCTTCAAATAAAAATTATGTTAATAATGAATCTACTGATAATCATAGTTCTCAAAATAAAGATAATATTATTGTTCAAAAAAATCAAAACAAGAATATAATCTATTCATAATTACATAAACTTAAATGAAACTGACATTTATAGTTATAAGATTAAAGTCCATTCTGAATAAACTCATCATCTATTTATTTATATTCAAATTTATCTGAATATCTATTTACTATTAATACCTGAATAATTCAACAGATATCTGAATAATTATCTAAATATCAATAATAATCAGATTTTTAAATATATTTAGATATTAAATATTTGATAAATAAATAGATAAATGAATAATGGATTGAAACTCTATATAAGATATGTTCTAACAACTTTGATAATAAACTTAGTAAATGAAATATAAATACATTTATTAACAATCTTATATTATTTTAAAAATAAATATTTAGATTTTTATAAAAATTTTTAATATAAAAATTTTGAAATTAGTTGCATTATATATTTAACAACTAATAAAATTAAATAAAATTATATTAAATCTTTTTTTGATATTAAAATAAGGTTTTATTTATATTTTTATTAGTAATTTTAGTTGTATATATTAATATACTATATATTAAAATATAATCATATTAAATATTTTTTTTAATGTTAAAATAAGTACATGTAATCTAAAATTTTATTGATAGTATATATTGGTTAGCATCTATTGATGTAATAAATATAGGTAATCATAAAAAGAATATACAACTAGTCACTTAGTCATTATTTAATTTAAATGATTCATTTGAAGATTCTATACTAGTTGCTATATCTAAGACCTACTTATAGGTCTTTTATTTAAATACTCTAGATCTTATATTCACTTTATTTTTTTTATTTTTTTTTCTTTAAGTTAAAGTCCCTACCTTGGGAGTTGCGATGTTTTTCTTCCAGTCCGCTAG